GAGAGAGAGAGAGGTTTCATTTTAATCATGGAAAAATGTGGAATTGGGGTTACTTCCTTTAACTGAAAATTGGAGATTTTTTTAAATCAGCAAAAACCAAGATCCCTGCTATCATTCTTTTCTGGTAACAGAGGAAATAGTATTAGTTGTTTAACCTATACCCCATATCCTATTTAAAAGAGAGAAGAGAAAAAACAGATAAGATTGTGATATATCTAATCTTTAAGAATCTCCAGTACAAATAAAATTAGAGGCTATTGAATCTTTTCTAAACATAGCCACTGAGGCATCGCCTCTAAGTGTGCTACTAAAGGGTCTTCTTACAGGTTACACTGTGAGCTGCACATATGTTGATCAGTGTTAGTGGTAGCAGTCACACTTGAGGACAGCAGGGGCCAGGAGGACTGAAAAGTAAGTATTCCCCCTCCCCTCCTATTCTGGGCTTCTGTCCCAGGGTGTCTCCAGTTCCCCCCACCACCACTCCTGGGGCTCTCCCTGCTCCTTGGGGTTCCCCACTCCCCTCCATCTCTCTGCTTACTTGTGGCTGTCCACACTGTCTGTCCTGAGGGAAGCAAGCAAGGGAAGGTTGGCTGGCTGGCCTGCCTGGCTGCCACCATTGCTCTTCTCCAGGCTGAACCCAACGCAGAGAGCAGCAGTAGGGGTGGCAGTGGCCAGGCAGGCAAGTTAACCTTTTCCTGCCTGCTCCCCTTGACAGGTGAGATAGCCACAAGTAAAGGGGGTGCAGGTGGAGGGGTGTGGAGTTTCTTCTTCGTGTCTCCAATCCTTTCTTTACGGCCTGCTTCCAATGTTCTGCACAGGCCACTGCTTCTGGTGTTGATGTTGCCAGATCTTGTGGGGGGCAGTGTGGTACCACAGGGAATCTCAGGAGATGATCCATGGTTTGCTGGGGAGGCAATGAGCAGGAATCTGGAATCCTGGAGAGGGCAAGAGGAGGTGGAGTGGGCCTGATCCAGACCAGCAGGGGAGGGGGGGCAGGTTGCAAAAGATTAATCAAAGTATCTGAATACCCACACTTACAATACAAAGGGGTCCACATCTCCATTCAAAATTTCCAAAGGGATCTGCATCTCCATTTGAAAATTTTAGGGGTCCGCAAATGAAAAAAGGTTGAGAAATCAATGCCTAGTGTGGCTATACCTTAATGTAACACAAGCTGGGTGACAGAGATCAGAGAAAATCCTGCCCTGGAGTGGCATAACTTTGAGTTGGCTAATGAGTGCTTAAAACTAGTTTCAGGTGTTAATGTGCAAACAGTCCAGGGGTTAAGACTGTCCAAAATTACCATGTAACAAGGCCCTAGACCAGGGGTCAGCAAGGCCATTTTGCTTGGCACACCACTGCCAGCCCGGGGCTCTAAGCAGCTGCTGCCAGCCATGGAGCCCAGGCTGCTCGCAGCAGGTGGCTGGGAGGCTGCAAGCCCTGCTGCAAGCAGACCTGGCTCCGTGGGCTGGCTGCAACAGGGAGGCTGCAAACAGCTGCTCTGGCATGTCGGCACTCTGGCACCTTCCAAGGTAGACACTGTGGTTATTTCAGCACTCTGGCCAAAAAACGTTGCCTACCCCTGCCCTAGACTGAAGATTCCTTTAAAATCTGTTTTCTAAATACAGAGATTTTCAAAATTAACCGTATGCCTTTGGTCAAGTTACTTGAACGGTGTCAAGTAAGTCCTGCTCTTGCCATTGTCCTATTCTTGCCATTAGATGATTTTATTCCAAAGAAACCTATTTATTTATTTTACTTTCAGCTACATAATTAACATTAAAAATTCCAAATTTCTAAAAACAAAATAATCAAATATAAATGTGCTGGACGTTTTTTTAATGATAAAAATAGTTAGGCCTAGAATCCTGACAATGTTTCCTACATAATCAAGTTTAGATTTTTCTGCTGCCTTTAATTTTTTTATTTTTTTTTAAAGATTAACTCATACCACACATTTATTAAATAATTCTGCTCACAAAGGGACAAAAATGAATGTCTGCATCTGAAACAGTTAAGAGAAGCTACCAGTAAATGACATCCTGCTTTTCTGACCTGTAGAGTGTGTGGCTTGGAAGCCTTTTCTCTGTACTGATGCATCAGAAACAAACCGAAGGAACATTTTGTTTCCAGTAGCAATGAGAGGATCTGGTATCTTATTGCCACATAAACGTCCCAGAATTGGTGACTTTTCAGTTTCTCCATCAAACACTTCCAAGTGGTCATAAGCACATTCCTGATGCTGCTCTATCTCAAACTCATTAAAGGTCTGGAAAAAAAAAGTTTAGTACTATTAAGAATCCAATATACATTATTTTTTACACAGTAACAAATGTCTTTTAAATATGCTTTCAACAGTCTGCAGTTAGTTAAGACAGCACATGTACTTGTGCTTCTGTTATAAAGCTTGGAATTTTGAATGACATGCTCATGCTGAGAAAGCCGAGTAATAATGAAGACAGTGAATTTTAAAGTTGGCAGGGAGCCCCTTCACATGAAAGGGATTAGAGCATTTATAGCCAATGAATATCCATGACAGAACAGAGCAAATCTGGAATACCATGGTTGTTCCATTAAATTCATACAATTAGTTGACAGGATTATTCCATATTTCACAGAACATTGAAAACAAATCAGAAAGCAGAAAATCTATTGGTTCCTCTTAGAAGTGAGGCCCTGAAACATCTGTGAAACATACTGTGCTTTTATATATTTGCTTCTTCACTATTTGCAGGTAAAAACATATACAACATGGTCCTTTGAAAACTGTCATATAAACTCATTTTTATAATTACAGTATTATTGATATATAAGGCTGCACTCCACAAATGAAAACTATACTTCTTAAGGAAACTGGTCTGATAAAAAGGACAAAAAAGGGGTTTTGACTAACTTTGTAAATAAAAACCCAACATGACTCACTTTTAATTCCCCTCAATTTTCAGGGAGAATTGTTGCAATGATCCAAACTTGATGATCACAAGCTTGCTTTCTTTTAGATCCATCTTAAGTTTAGTTTCCACACAATGGGTGCATGTACATGTGTGCTTTACTGCACAGTAGACTAAATTACTGCACTGTAAAGCATCAATGTCCACATGTGCACTGAAATTAGGGCACAGTAAATTCATTTACTCGCGTGTAGGATAGTCCTGTTAGACACAGGTACTATCCAAAGGTGAAGTAAATTACTGTGCTTAAAGGCACTTGCAGATGGTGATGTTGGGATTAGTTTACTCCAGCTCAAATTGCACCAGAGTTTATTCAGCTGCATTAATTACATGGGTAGATGCACCTGGTATTATTCATTCTAGTCTTTATCTGAACACGCAGAGACTCTCACAGCTCTTCCTAATGATGATGGAAGTTATGTATGAACACCGTGTTTATGAAAGATTCCAGATTCACGGTCCAGCAGAGTAAATTGTTTGTCCAAGATTTTAAAGGACTCAATTTTGGTACCCAAATGCATCCAACTTCGTGAAAAATCAGGGAATTTTAAGTCTTTCGGTCTCAAGGACAGATCTAATATTTTGAAAATGGGTTTGTAGTGGTGTATCATTGCACATAACATACATTTTTCTCCAGTTAGAGAGAAACTAGAAGATTTACTAATACATTAGAATCTCAGTGTTATATTATTCAGTACAAGATCAAAACAAAAACAAATCTAACTTCATTGGAAGGTGCACTAATTTACTGGTTTATATATTAAGATTAAAAAACACAACAAACTAGACAAAAATAGTCCAAAATGCTGTTTTGTTAGTCCTATAGTCATTATGTTTAAAATGTTTATCTGTTAGTCAGATTCATAAAACAAAATCTAGCCTTCTTGAGCCTCCTGACAGTGCATCTAACACTTCACTGTCAATCATATCCACACCCAAGTTAATGTTCACTGGAGTTAATGTTACCACACCTGATTCAAGGTGTTTAGCTAGAACTAAAAACAGTTTAGCTAGAACTAAAAACAGGGCTTTGAAATTGGAGAGAGATATTACCAGGAATAATTATCAGACAGCAACCTTGCAGAAGAAAGGATAATTTGATTAATGGTACATCAAGATCATTAAAATAGAGAGAGGGGCATTAGCACCAGTAAAGAGAGATTAGCAGGAATCAGGTATATTAGAATAAGACATGAAGTCAGTTGACACCCTCAGCATTGCCTGAACAGAAATGCTACTGCCTCTCTGGGGCACTGAGTTTTAAAGTTTGGGTGGAGCAGAAATCAAAGGAGGATGCAACTGCACCACTGTACTCTCTATGGATCCATTATTGTTGAGTCCCATAAAATTAAAACATCCAAAACTACAAGTCACTTTTAAAATAACTAGATCTACTGGTATACAGTTATAGGAACTTTGGGAGCTTTGTTTATACTGGACACCCGATTTAGAGGGATCACTTCTAGAAACAAGAGGTAGTCCAGTCCACAGGTTTTCTTTGGCTTGTCCACTGGACTGGCAACTAATATGTCACTTGAGGTCAATTAGACTCAAGTGCTTTGCCCTCATGTAAGCACTGAGAGGTCAAAACTCATATAAACCTATCTTAATATTTGCACACTGAACCTACAATTGAAAGCTAATTCAATGTAAGTGATTTTCTAATAATCAATTTTATGGTTAAAATGTTATGCTATGATTAACATAATAAAAGCACTCTAAGAGTTAACAACCCCTAAAGCACTGAGGATTTCCAGCAAAGAGATCTGGAAGATTAAGAAGCAATATTTAAAAGGAATAAAACCAAACACAGTAAAATATTGAACAAACATAATAAACTCTAGATTCCATCTTGTATATCAAAGCAAGTTTAATCGGCTGAATCCCTCGTGGAAACCAGCCAACATAAAATGTGATGGCACTTAATATTAACAGCTGTCCAAAAGGAAATGCATATAGCTATAGCTACTGACACTGAGAAAAGGCAAAGAAATTCCAAATGGTTCTGGTTCATAAAAAACTGAAGAGCAAAATGACGATGCCAGATACACATTGTATTTGCAGGAAGAATTAGCTTTCCAAGTAATGGAATGGAAGTACAGATCCCATAAAAAACAACTGTTTAGCTATTTCTATTGCTACTCTTAGACCCTTTCTACACATTACAGGTATTGCACAATTAATTGGTTAATTGCACAATTATCTTGAGACCAGTTACACCTGCAAAGTACTTACAATGCCATAAAAAGCTCCAAGAGCTATAAAGTTAGACCTTGAAAATATTTACCAACTTTATAGCTGGTTGCTATCATGCTTTAATTTGCACGTGTAGCAGGGTCTGACCTACGGCTGGGAGCCCTGTCAGATGGGGGTCCCAGCTGCAACAGTGCACCATGTCCAGCGAAGGCTGGGAGCCTTCAGATAAGGGGACTATCAGCCCTACCAGCTTCTGACTCTGTCTCAGCAGCACCTGCAGCTGCCAGGACTCAGAGTTTGGCAGCTGTGGATGCTGGGTCCTGGAAGCATGCCTCTAAGTGCCAGGACCCAGCAGCCATGAGATGCAACTGCAATCTCCCAGACCCAGGGGGGTGGGGGCAGAGGGGGCAGGGCAGGAGCCTCTGGGGCTGGGAGATAACAGAAGAGTCAGACTTCCAGCCTCAAGGGTGCATGAAGCCCCCAGGGCTAGATCACAGCTGCCATGATCTGTCAGGCCCAAGGATTTAATGCACCTACCCCTGAGATCAAGGCAGCTACATCTCCCAGCTGCAGGGGGAGCATGGGGTGACTCTGAAGCTGGGAGCCCCTCAACGGAGGAGACTCCCAGATGTTAGAGCTTGCTGCTTGCCAATGTAGGGGGAGACTGGGATTAGGCTCCCCCTGCACTGGCAATAAATTGCAATGGGATCTAATGCATGATTCCATTGTGACACCTCCTACCATGCTAGTGTGGCATGGCAAGAGGTGCAACTGCGTGTATGGTGCACTAAATCCCATTGTGCTTTTATCCGCAGTGTAGAGTGGCCCTTAAACCTTAATCAAGTTCTAATTTTTATATGGCCAAATAAATGGCTGTCATTTGGACCCCCAAAATATTCTATGGATTAAAAAAAAATGGAGAAGCTGGAAGACAGGGTTAAATATAGTATTGAATATAGCCAATATGAAAGCCATTGGGAATATAATATGTGATCTGAAGGCAGCCTCTAATCCTTAGTTCTGTTCCTAGTTTTAAAAGGAAATCTTCACTGCAGTTTATTCATCTCAAATGCCAGCAATTAAGAAATACTTTTTGCCACGAATAAGGTGTGAAGGCTATTATTTTCAAATACTAAATTACCATTAGGATAATAAAGCTAGGACTCAACAATGGTTTTCTTTTTAAGGCACGTTATTTTGACATCTAAAATCACTGTTCTGTGCAAAGAGTATGCAAACAATTTCAAATCCATTTTAATAGTCATTAAACAAATCGAATAGAACCAAGCAATTTAAGAAAAAAACAAGCCTTTGATATTAAACTATTTTAAACATTAAGCATTAAAACAAGTAATCTTTTTAAAACTAGTGTTGGAACATATTAGAAACTGGCTTATAGTCACATTCATAACATTCCCACATTTCCAGGGAAGGCTGAGAACACTGTTTTCCAGAAACATTTTTCATATATAAATTCAGTAATAAAAAATTAACATAAAAATGTTTCTTTTGCTTAATTTGAATCAAGATGAATATGGAATTTGATTCTGTTGATGGGTTGAGCATAATTCTTTTAAATATTAATTTTTTACATTTTAATAATGTAATTCTAAAAGCAGAGCACCGCAGCACAAAAGAATTATAATATTTATAGCTAATGAGCATTCATGATTGAACAGACCAAATCTGGAATATGATGGCTGTTCCATTGAATTTTAAATAAGTGCTCATTCTTTCTACTTCTCCTTTAGTAAGATGCATCTCTGGGTGCTTGGTCAGAAATAATCTCAAATTAAGCTTCATTTACACTAGTTTCCAAAACAGAAATGATGTAAGATAAGAACTATTTTAAAAAGCAGCAACATTATAAAAATAGTTTAAATATTATTGATGTTGGGCAGAATTAAAAAACCATACTCACCCAAGGAGTTAAGTACCTAAGTATTTATTCCTTAAAACCCTAAGAGGCACATAGCTGCACTTCTAAGTATCCTATGTGCCAGTGGCAATATGTAGGGGGTGCACCCCATGTAGCTCCTGAAAGTGCTGGTATACCCCCCGACAGACCACGCTCTGCGCTTAGGTGACGGGAGGGGCAGGCTGGAGCGCTGGCGACCCCCCT